CACACACATACACACAACCCAGATTTGATCTGCAGATTCTCCCAGTGTCCCCAGATGAAAAGCTTCATTTTAATGCCAGAGAAAAAGGACTTTTCATTGATTAGGTTCAAGCTATTGCTCAGCATCAGCGTCAGGAAGTACACCTTGGAGATGCTGTAGTTATTTCTTCTTTCCAAGAAAAGCCTTCAATGGATGAGCTAAAGGTGGGCATAGATTGCCTTTATCTCCATTTATATCACTGGATCCCAGAAGTGGTCAGAGGACTCTGACTCATATAGCAAGCAAATCACTGTCTTAGAATTTCTGATGTCCTTGTTCTCTCCCAGTGCCCACCTGACTCCCAAAGGCAAGAGGGCTGAAACTCTTTCATTCTATGTATGTGACTTACCGGAGCCCTCACATAACCCTTCAGCTCCGAGCAGATCTGCGATAGACCAAAGCAGAAGCAGGGGCTGCAGCCTAGAGGGTTGTCCTCTCGCAAGGCAAAGGTGCCAACTCGGCACTTATCGCACTGGGGTCCCAGGACATTCTCCTAAGGGTGAAAAGAAAATAAATGAATGTCTGAAAGGGAAGAGATGTGACTTTATGCACACACAGAGACAAAATAATAAGACACACGGACAAAATAATAAAACATGCATTACTAAGCTCAGTCTCTGGTGGCCACGTCTCTCACGGAAGTCAGACACTCAAAACTCCCGAGTTATGACTGAGGGTCAAAAGTATGGTGGAACAAACTGCAAATACATATTCGCTAATGTGAATCTCCATGGTCTCTAGGTGATGCTGAGAGCCTCCAGACAAAACCCCAGGCTAAGTGAAGGCCAGCCAGGTCTGACTGACTGGAGCCAGGACTGTTGCTAGGAGACATGGTACGACACTTACAAAATGAACCTCTGTGAATCCTTCCATCATCACCTCAATTCCTACACCAATACCCCAGCTTCAGGCTGCTACCTCCTCTTCCTCACAGAGACTAGAGAAAGTGGCAGTGACCTGGCAACAAAGCATGCTGGGAAAATCAACAGACACATGTGTAAGTCAAACTGAATTAAACTCTTACCTCATGGAAAATTATGGTACAAAGTTTCCCTTTACTTTAGCAAGCACATATAACAATCACCAGTCTCAGAGCATAGCTATAAAATCCCCAAATCTTCCCCAAAGCCTTGCTTGCTACTTTGTTTCTTTGAGAATGAATGGCTACCCAATCCATGGGTGCGTGCTAGGACTGTCTTCAGAGAAGTTAGGTCACCAGACACTTGTAACTGGTAAAACTCCGTTCTAAGACTTTTTCATCATTTCAGGAGAGAACACTGTGACTTGTTATAATAATTTTAAATGTGTTTTTTCCTTTCTTGGATCCGGCTTTCAGAATGACAACTCTGAGACTACTTATTATTAAAGGTCTAGGCCATAAGTTTTAGCTCATTCCCTGATGAGCTCTTCACTTATTTAAGCAATTTTAACGATTCTATGTCTACCATTTGACTGGTTAACCTCTCCTTCAGTTCTGGCCTGCTTTTTCCTTCTTATCTCCTCAGCGTCTCTCTGAGTTTCTCTACCTGCTGGTTTACATTCGTCTCCCCTGCCTGTCTCCCTGAATCACTCATCTCATCTCTTATCTCTCACCGCTTCCCAGAATTCTCTCTTCCTGCCAGTGTCCCACCTCCTATTTCCTATGTTAGCTCATTAGCCATCAGCTTTTTGATTGATAGGTGATATCAAAGTATCAAACAGTCTGAGAAAGTGTTTGAAACTGTACTTCTAATCAGTAGAATCTATGGAAGTAGTCAGAAGCCTCGTAGTGGGAGAGAGGAAGACAGGAGAAGGAAACTGAGGCTCGAAGATCCACAATACCTTGCAGGAGCAGGTGCCACCATCCTCTGAGCAGCTGCAGAGACCCTGTTCCGGGTCACAAGTGTCAGCCAGTGTTCCCCTCAGATCACAGTCACAGGGAACACAGTCAGGAAAACTTCTGTAGCCCAAAGAGCACTGATGGCAGCTCTGCCCACCAAACCCTTCTTTGCAGGGACAGTGGCCAGAGAGAACATCACACTGGGGACTTGTGGAGCCCACAGCACTGCAGTTGCAAGCCTGGGAGAGAGAGAGAAAAAGAGAAAGAGGAGGGGGGGTAAATATAAATATAAGGGCAGAACTTATATCCTCAGAAAGTACAGAAACTCAGACATCAGGGAAACATTGTCTGGGGCAATAATGTTGGTAAATTGACCTTGCACTGTTCCTAAGTGGAGCTGTTCTACCAGGAACCATGGGACAAAGGTCCCATGGCAGGGCCTTTGTGTACATTAGTGACACCAACACAGTATATTAAAACTCTGAACTAGAATTAAATCTAATGGTGCAATCAGCTCCAGCAAAAATATTTTAGAGGAGAAGTAATGTCTCCACTACTCTGAAACCCAATTATGCCTAATTCTAAGCTAATTAATTACAGAACAATTGAGCTCTCAGATTCAACCTAATTCTCTAATGAAACTATTGACAACTCCACTGGAAAATATAGACTAGACTAAAGCATAGTTAAAGGTCAATATCTATATGTCTATATAACTATACATCTGTAGATAGATAAATAGATAACTATATAACTATATATAGTTATATAAATATATAGATGTATTTCTACCTACCAATTTCACAGCTAAATTCTTAAAAAAAAAAAACCCAAAATAAGAAATTTGAAAGATGCTAACTCTCCCGCATTATTCCGGAGACAATTATTTACATATTTATTTATTTAAAGGTGGGGGGTCTTCATAGCCTATCTCCCCAGACTATACTATAACTAAACCCAACTAAACCCAAACAATCCCCCTGACTCAGCCTCCTAAGTAGCCAGGAGATGCATAGCCAGTGCTCCATGCTGTACAGATTTTAAATATGAATCATGGCAGTACAACTGCTTAAAGCCAGGAGACCAGATAATAGGCAGTTTGCAGCAGGGAAGAACGACTCATTCCAGCGCTGTGGCAGCACCCACCTGGCATCCCTGCTCCGGGTCCAGACCCCAGAATGCCTCTTCACATTCCTCACACTTCAGACCCTGAGTATGCGGGGGGCAGAGACACTCTCCAGAATCGGGGTCACAGTTATTCTGAGTATGAGCACAATCACAGGCTGAAACAAAAGAACCATCACAGACTCAGAAGGGGGATGTGGCCCAAGCGTGAGAGTTTGATAGCATAATTGTTATTTATAATTGGAACCTCTATTAAAAGAGATACAAAGGTTCCCGAGACCTTTTCATCTATCTCTGAGGTAGCTGCGCACTCGATAAGCCCGGGTCTGAGAGGTCAACAGAGTGGCACAGATACCTGAAGGACAGAAGAACAGAAGGCAGCAGTTCTCAACCTGTGGGTCATAACACTGATGGAGGTTGAACGACCTTTTCGCAGGGGTCACATATGACATATCCTGCATATAGATATTTTATATTGCAATTTACAACAGTAGCAAAGTTACGGTCATGAAATAGCAAGGAAAATAATTTTATGGTTGGAAGTCACCACCATACGAGGAACTGTATTAAAGGATGACAGCACTAAGGAGGATGAGAACCATGGCCCTAAGGCCACTGACTTCTTTTCAGCTGCCAATTGTGTTAGATGTGACCCCCTAGTCCTTACAAAAGCTTCTGGGCTGCAGTTAGAACTCAAAAACTAGAACTAAGGTCACAAAGCAAGCAGGTTGGGAGCCAGGACCAAAGTGAGTGCTCACACCCTAAGAGAGGTTAGAAACAGAAAACAGGTATAGAGCCCCACCGTAAGGAGCAAAGTAACGTTTCACAGAAGCTATTATGACACCAGGAAAGGTGACAGGACAAGTTTTACAGGGGAACACAAGGTACTCCAGTGCTTACGTGTGCAGCCACCATCCTGGAATGCATAGAAGCCATGTAAACACCTGTCGCACTGTTTTCCAGAGACACCTGGTACACAGTGACACTGTCCTTCCTCTGTGCAGTTGTCAGATATGGAGCCTTCCACACTGCAGTTACAGGGTACACAGCCAAGCCCTGTGTCCAACCCATAATAGCCAGACTGTGTCACAAAAGAGGAAGAACCATGGGGTTAGTGGCCTATACACACAATGGAATGTTCTCCAAGTCACAGGCGAGGTGTTTCTCGGAATGGCAGCACACCCCTACTCCTGGGCACACTGTGTGCATGTTTTGGGCACACTGTGTGTATGTTCTCTTGATCGGGAAAGACACAGCACAGGGTGGCCAAGCCCAGGGGTGAGCCCTTCCCATGTGAATTCAAGTGCCCAAGGACCCAGGCTAAGTGTCAATTCTAAACACTGGGAAGTCATTGAATAGCATGCTATGCCCAGTAAGCATCTTACCAGGCATTGGTCACACTGTTGTCCTGTCACGTGAGGTTTGCAGTCACACAGTCCAGTTTCCAGGTGGCAGACCCCAGAAAGGGAGCCGTTCGCATGGCAGTCACAGGCTAGGACACACAAGAAACATGAGGGCTGTATTTATTTACTTTACTATAATTTGAGTAAAAGCCATTTAATCCCCTAAGGAAAAGGCTTAAACATTCAACATACCAGATCACAGAGCTAACATACTTCACAGACAATGAGAGTCCTGTCAGTGTGAGAAGCAACCCCAGAAGCAGGGGTGTTGGCCCTGGACCTGAAGATCTGACAGCCCGAGTGAGGGTTCTTGGGATCAGCTGCCTGGCTAATCCACCTTTCCTGAGAACCTGGCTTCCCTCCAGCCTGTGGTTTTCCTTTGTATATGTGGAGCAATGCCCCAGTTTTGCTTGAGATCCTGAGAGACACAACCCTGCTGTCCTTTAGAAAGGACTTACTCTTGCATGCCATAGCCTGACTCTGAACATGACTCCTACCTTCCCAGCACATGGCCTGCTGGCTAACACAATGATAGATGCTCTCTAGCTGGAGTTCTCCCAGCTTGCCCTCTCTCCTTCCCCTACCCCTACACTTCCTTCCTTCCCTCCCACCCTCTCTTCCTCCCTCCTTTCCTCCCTCCCTCCCTCCCTCCCTCCTTCTCTTCTCCTCTGCTTTTTTGACAGATTGTTCTGAAGTATATCTCTCTGGCACCCCTCTTCTATGTCCCTCTCTTTCCCTAGTATCAACCTCAACTCTAATTTTCTGTCCTCCTGGTCTCTTATGTGCTAATGCATCACTTTTTAAAGCCTCTAGGACACTCCAAGTGCTAAATTCAGTGAGGAGATTTTAGTATTCATCATGCAGGATCTTTCTTCAGAATTTGACCCATCTACCATCTACTCCCAGTATTTGAAATTAAGGTTTCCATGTTGCTAAAGTTCAGGCTGATGAGCCAAAGTCATGTTCTTTTCATCGAATGTGTGCCTAGAATTTTATTTTTCTGTATGATTGGCACCACCTCCTCTGTATGCTGCGATATAAGGCCAAGGTTTACCTGGAATTATCAAAATATACAAGTGGCATTATTATCCGTGCATCCCTTCCTTGAGACAGTTCAAAACCCAGACCTACACAAGGTCAAGATAGCAGAAATGGCAGCATGACCCAGAGAGGGGACCATGTGGCTAAGTTGGCAGCTGATGGCTACTAGAGAGTTTTCTTCAGAGATGCGCCCCCCTTTCTTTGCTACCCAAACTTCAAGTTTCGGTGCATGGCCCCAACTCCACCCACACAGCAGCAACACTAAAGAGACTCCATGTGTTTAAAAGCAGAGTGCAGGAAATTGGGAGGGAGATGTGGAGCGGGGAGATGGGAGGGGTTGAAGAGGATGAGAGGAGCTGGAGGGGAGGGAGTGGGGACGAATGTGATACATTGTATGCATGTTTCAAACTCTTCACACAATAAAGCGTTTTGTTAACTATGCAAAAATACAAACACTGAGGGTTTCAGTATCAGCCCCAAAGCTTGAAAACCTCAGGCACATGTAACTGACTGTCTCAATGAGTACTTCTACATCATAAATAGTTTCAAGGCTCCAAACAGAACTAAGCAAGTTGGGGCCAAGTAGTACATGGGCAGACCACCAGGGTTGTGCCACCACCATGGTGTCAGAAAGAGAACCTCGTCCTTGACCGTGAAGGATATGAATTTTCTAAACTTCTGACCTTTAGAGATAACCGCTAATTAGGCTGCTGTAGAATACAGAGTTCGGAGTATTGGGTCCATGTCGGATAACAGGAGACCCATCATCAGTACACAAGACAGATTCAAAATATGGTCTTTGTGATGGGGCCATGTTGGCCCAGGGAGTAGCACTATTAGGAAGTGTGGTCTTGTTAGAATAGGTGTGGCCTTGTTGGTGGAAGTGTGTCACTGTGGGTGTAGGCTTAATTACCCTCATCCTAGCTTCCTGGAAGCTAGTCTTCTGTTTGCCTTCTGAACAAGATGTTGAACTCTCCTCCTGCACCATGACCGACTGGATGCTGTCATGTTCCCACCTTGATGATAATGAACTAAACCTCTGAACCTATAAGCCAGCCCCAATTAAATGTTGCCCTTATAAGATCTGGCTTGGTCATGGTGTCTGTTCACAGTAGTAAAAATCTAAGTAAGACCCTCTCCACCAGACTGAGTCCTTCTGACAAATGTTACGGAATTCACACAGCAATATATAACAACTGTGACCCCCTTGCTCAGGTACTCACCTCGGCAGTTTTTGGCAGTCACGGCGTCTCCATAGAAGCCATCTGCACATCTCTCACAATGGGCACCGTCTGTGTTCCACAAACACTTCAGGCATTCTCCTGTGACAGAGTCACAGTGGCCAGCCTCCAGGGGATCGACATTGCCACTGCAGTTGCATGGTACACAAGATCCCCCTGGCACTGTTGGGTTTCCATAGTAACCGTCTGCACATCTATATCCAAGATAGAAAGCGAGGTCTAGTCAATAGGATCACTCAAGATACTACCCAGCAAGCCAGGGACTCCCTGGATGGCTAATAAATCAGATCGGCTCTTTCCCTTAAGATTTGTGATGGAAAAGAGGTAACTTTCCATCCTGACAGTCACAAATCTTCCTCGACTTTTATGAGATGGGAACAGATCCAAAATGAGCATAAGCCCAGAAGATGTGAAACCATGACCTTCTCTTGGCCACTGAGGATATCACCCAGCTCTTGACAGGCTGAACCAGGGGCAGGTGTCAAGGCTCACACATGGGAAAAGACAAGACTGGCTTTTGAGTGCCAGAGAATGACTCTTAAATCAGACCACCCAATGCCTTCACTATTTTCTGAACTACTGAATTCTTAGTCGTGTGACAACTGTAACTACTGACCTCTCTTGCCCTCTGCCATTGTCCTTATGTGAATACTGATGTGCTCCAGGAGGTGGAACACTGTTCTCTCAATGGGCATCTTGCTTTTCTCCATGATCTTACAAAATAATGGTAATTCACCAAGACGACAAGACCACACTTAAGTACATATTTTAAGCACGCATCACGACACATTGTATATATACATTGAGCTATCACATCATGTCTACAGGGGTTTGGACAACTGATAATGTTTCAATTAGCACTGAAGACTTGTAGATATTTAAGAAGATAATATAAAACGTGTACTGGATTTTTGAGACAATGTTATTGC